TCACCCAGCCGGTCACTAGGCTGCAGGCGGGTCTTTCCTGGCTTGGAGTCTCCACACAATCAGCCCCTCTCTGATCCTGCTGTGGCAGGCTCCTGGGCCAGAGAGAGGAACTGGATACTGTACCTCATCCAGTGGCAGCCTTTTCTGCTGCTCCACAGGGCACTCCTAGGGGCTCTCTGAGGAACCGTGTTGAGACTCTGTCCCTCAGCCCCACTGTCTCTCTCTTGTTCTCTCCCTGCAGGAAAAACTGCTCCCCCTTTTATCCAAGCCTCTCAGCCAGAGCCCTTCCCGGGCTTTTGGTAATGACTCTATTTCAAAACTTTGCTGGGGTTACGTCACCCCTCCCACTTCCAACAGGGCTGCCTCCAAAACAGCTTCACTTGCCTTCAGAGCCTACAGTGTCCCCGCTGGGACAAACTCTGTCTTTCTGCTAGGCAGCCCTTCCCATTCTTTCAGGTGGGTTTATTTTTTAAATGCTGCTACATACAGTTATGCACATGTGCAATTTTTTGTTTTTCATAATTAGAAATGGTAAGAGAGAAATTCTAATTATCTGCACTTATCTCTTAAATTCCCATTTACCCACGTCTGTGATCCAGTTGGAAATACTACACTATCAACAGAGTTGCACTGCAGGTCACAAGAGTAAAAATAAGGTGCATGCTGGTGGAGAAGGCTTTCATTCTTGGAAATAAAATCTTGGCTGAATGGGGGAACCCCCCCCCCCACCAAACCATGCACCAATTTAAACAGAAACTTTAAGGGAAAACTTGAGCTTTGGGCACAATTGACAAAGTTTTAGTGTGATGAGCAGGGATATGGGGTGTTTGTTTACTGCAGAAAAACATGGGTTTTCTCCTTTAACAGCAAAAGTTGGATCTTCTCTTTTTAAAAGAGAAAATCATGGACTTTCTCCTTTAAAGGAGAGAAACCCACAGCTCCCGGGGTTTGGCAGTGCTCCTTACTCCAAACCTGCAGCCACTGGCCCTGCTGGTGCTCCTCACTCCCAAACTACTGCCCCCCCCCCCGAGCCTGCCAGTGTGTCAGGAAGGGAGCAAGTGTGTGGGAAGTTTTTTATGATCACTGCAGTTTGCTACCTGGAGTATGGTTTTTATGGCCACCGTTTCTCCTTGCAAGCTGGCAGAGTTGCTGCAAGGGGCACAGGTCATGTGTTGAGCTGGGGGCAAAGGGGCACAGGCCATATGGAGGGGGAGGGGCACAGATGGGCATTGGGGAGGCAAAAGGGGCACAGGTCATGGGGAGAAGGGGGCACAGGTCACACATTGTGGAACAGGGGGCACAGATGACATGGCAGAGGGGTGGGGGGGCAATGTGTCCCCCAAGATTTCTGTGTCCACCGTGGGGCATGGGGCTGCAGTGGGGTCCAGTCAGCTCTGGAGGATCTGCCTCTGGCCCAGTGTGTGGGACCTGGCTTGGGAGGGAGTGCCATGCTGCCATGGCTGCCAAGCTGAGGTGCCCCTGTCCATCCGGCAGCAGTGGGGGACACAACTTCATGCTGCCATGGCCGCTGCCACTGCTACACCTTACCATGGTGGCATGGCACTCTTTTCAGCCCCAGTTTATGCCCAGAGCTGGTCCAGCTTGGCTTCAGTCCTGCACCCTGTGCCCTCTGTGGGTGCAGAAATCTCAGGGGGCATGTGCCTCCCCACCATGTTGCCTGTGACCCCTCTTGCCTTCCCCACACTCTCACTCCTTTCCTCATACACTGGCAGGCTTGGGGTAGGGGGCAGTGGGTTGGGAGTGAGAGGCACTGGCAGGGCCAGGGGGCTGTGGGTTGGGAGTGAGGGACACCAGCAGTGCTGGGAAGGCTGCAGGTCTGGAGGGCTGTGCGTTAGGAGTGAAGAGAACTGGCAGAGCCATGGGGCTGTGTGTTTGGAGTGAGGGGCACCAGCAAGGCCAGGGAGCTGTCAGTCAGGAGTGAGGGGTACCAGCAAGGGGGGCTGTGGCTTGGGAATGAAGGGCAATGGCATGGGCAGGGTCAGAGCACCAGTGTATCAGGGCTGCTCAGTGCTACAAAGCAGTGGGGGAAGATACTGAAGCAGATGAACCCACGTCCTGGTTAATTAAGGGGGCAGGGGGAGCTCTGATTTTCCATGATAAAAACCCCAAAATAAAACCCCCAAAATTATAGATATTTAGAATTTATTTTATTATTATGATTGAGGCACTGGTAAGCTTCCAAATTACTTAAAAATTGTAACTATATTGATAAAAAGTTGTGTTCAGTTGATACCTATATATATATATATATATAGTGCTGTTTCATTTTAATTGAGGAAAAATGGATTTTTTTTTGTTTAAATCCGAGAATTTGTGATTTTTAAACAGAGAAAATCAGGATCCCTGACCTTTAATACTCTAGGTTAAACTGCCTTCGTAGCATTTACCGAGCTATCTTAGTTCATATCAGTTTTAGTCTTGTGGTCTTTGCTGATGTTTAATTATTGAATTTTTGTTTTGTACACAGGTGAAATGGCAGCTGAAGTGCCAAACATTAAACTGAAAATTGATCCTCAAGATCTTCAGATCCAGACATTTACAGTGAGGAAGTTGCTGGAGCCATTGATTATTCAGGTGTGTTAACATTGCAGAAGCAAGCAGGAGAAATAAGATGAAGAATTTGCCTTATTTTGACTAAACACCTCTTTATGTTTGTCCTTTCAGGATCTATCTGTGCTGGCTCCAGACACTCAAAAGAAAGATTGTATCCATTTAGCAAGTCACTTAACCTCTTCTGTTGTGCAAAAAAAAGAGTACATTCCATTATATCTAATGGAATTCAGTCTGTCTAGGCTCTTGCACAATGATATTCAAATAAATATTGAAGTGGGGCTGCATTACAAATAGAGTTCCAATGCATGAAAGATAGTAAATGGAAAATAGAAAATGAGGGTATGTGCAGGTGTTACACTTAGATTGACTTAACCAGGGTTAGGTTTACCTAGGTGCTGAACTGTATACAAGTCCAGGGAAGTTAGATCTGGCAAAAACTGGCCACCTGATCTAACTTAATTCACTTATATGCAGACTTTACCTTTAGATTGACTTAACTTTATATGTAGACCCACTAGCCTCCCCCAACCCTAACTTACATTGTGTTCCCAGTGCAGTGCCTGGTGCTGGTGAATGTGTGCACATGTGGGACCTGATCTATAATTACATGGCTTAAAGTGAGCCACAAGATTGCAGATTAGATCTTGGAAGCCCAGCTTCTCACCCCAGGACTGGGCCTATGCTTTTCCTACCCTGCCTCAAACCTGACCGGGCTATCTTTTTAACCATCTGACTCCTTCGTGCCTAGACAGACAACTCCTTCCCTATGGACCTGACAGGATTAGGGGTCCTAACAACTCCCCTTGTGGACCCGCAGGCCCTCCCAATCCCACCAACTCTCTCCTGGAGACCTGCTAGCCCCCACAATCCTGCCACCCCCTCTTGGGACTCACTACCCACCCTTGATCCTGCTAACCCCACCCCCCACCCCAACTTACTTAGATCTGGCTCCTGGCACCAGCACACATCTGTACAAGGCACCCAATGTACAATCATGCCGCTTAAAGTAAGTGGCATGATTATAGATCGTGTCCCAGGAACATCTACATGTGGTTCAAGGGTAAGTTGCAACTGGTGGACAGAGGGGAAAGGAAAGTTCCTGAGTTCTCTACATAAATCAACTTAACTGAATCTTAAAAAGGGTTCAATTTTTTGCTGTGTTTTGTTTTCATAGAGCTAGTTTCTGATTCTGTCTAAAGCTAATGTCTTCCAACAGAAATTCCAAATCTGTAACATTTTATTAAATAAAGTTGTTACAAAAGACATAATTATTTCTCTATGGCCAGTAACAGTTGCTAATCTCTCTTGGTTTCTTCTTTAGTAGAGCTTCCATCATTTTGTGTTACATTCCTAAATGTACTGAGAATTCAGAATGTCCCATACCACCAGTTACTTATTATATACAACTGACTAAAAGTTATAGTTTAATCTCTTCCATAACTGACAATACGTCTTATGTCACTATCCAACTTCTAGATTCGTTTGATCATAAATCTTCAGCCAATTCTTTTTTAAAGTGTCCTTATTTTTTACCATAAACCTTAATTTTACTTTTAATCTCAAACTTTTCCCCAGTGTGTAGACAAATCAGCAGGTTATTTTGCATGGACGCTTAGCAGCTGATACATTTCAATCAACCCATTCCATTTACATTGTGTGATAACTTTCACAGTTGCATCTATTGGCAATAAATTCCTCCGGTGGATTAGACACTTTTTTCCCCCAGCAAGTACAATTTTATTGCAGTAACTATATGCATATGCACTTCATCACTTTTTAAACCCTTCCTTGGTAATGTAATGAAAAAAACTTGGTGGTTTAATGTGGGGTTGAACTTTCTCATTGTCCTCTTGTTTATCTTTATTGTGTGACCTGTGAAGGTGATCCAGACTCTTAGATTCAGTTTGGCTCAGGTCTGTTTCCTTTTTTTCCACATATGTTGGAATTCAGTTGATGACTGTTGCAGTTTTTGCCTGTCTACCCCATATGTGCTATAAAGCCTGAGTTTGTCAGACTTTTAATAGGCCAATGACCTACTGGAAATATTTCCTACTGGTTTTCAGGTTGTAAAAGTGTCTGAATCATGTAGCCATTGAGCCATTTTCAGTGATTTGCTGTGTCTGAGCTTCCAAAGCAGATTTCATGATACATACTGTAAGAAAATAATTTTGCTGAGTACCATTATATATAGTGTGAAAAAGCAACTTTGATAACAGGTAATCACCAGCCTAAATGGTCAGATCCCAAATAGGATCAGTATGGGCATGTCTATACACGCTATTAGCATGCAGCAATAGATTCCAGCATGTATCAACCAGAGCTTATTGCTCACAGGTGCCACGTTTACATATACATTCAGGACTGCAACACATTAAGCCGGGTTGGAACAGCTCCAGGTGGCCTGGGGGTGGGGTGGGGTGGGTCAGCTTGCCAGCCTAGGGCTACTCTGACCTGGCTCAATGTGCTGTGAAGGGGCTGGCTGGTTCACAAAGGCAGACAGTCCCCACAATGAAGCACCCTTGTGCCCCAGCCAGTTGCATCAGTGCTATGTAGTAAAACAACTCCGCAGCAGGATAGTACTTGTATTTACAAGTACCACCTTGCTATAGAGGTAATTAGTTTCCTGTGACCTAATAGGGCTGTATGTGTAGACATGAGGGGTCTGTCCACACATGCAAGCACATGCGCTTGCAACAGCTCAAATAGAAGCAGTGCAAATTTGAGCTGGGGCTTTTTGCCTCATCGCATGTGCTTGGACATGTACTTTGTTGTGGAGTAAATTGTGCCACGTGGGGCAAAATAACCCTACTTTGCTCCTCCCAGAACTGCAGCCAGGAGGAGCTAGACACTGGGGCCAGCACCTGGGGGAGGAGCCTCTGGGAGGAAATTACCCCCACCCCTTCCTGTCCCAGGCTGCTGCCGCAGCTGCTCCTGCTGGTTGCTGCAAACTTGGTCTCAGGAGCTTCTGGGGAGAAGATGGCCAGGTCCTTTTCTGCCTCTGGTTACTTCTAGCTGCTGGCTTAGTCTTGAAGCTTTTCGGAGTAAGCTGGCTGCATCCCTTTCTGCCTTGGGCTGCTGCTCCTGTTGTTGTCCCAGCCACGGGGGGGGCGGTCCTCTGCTGCATGTGGCTGCTCCCCTTCAGGGAGGGGCCCACTGCACTGCACTCCAGCACCGCACCTCAGCTTCTGCATCCCTGTTTCTGGCCTGCTGCCCAGCCTGCTGCCAAGCCATGGTCAGGGGACAGCTTGGGGAGGAAGCCTGCGCTGCCTGTGGGCCTCTCCCCCACTATCACTGCCAGAGCCTAAAGGTGCCTTCCCTGTCCTAGCTGCCTTGGCAGGCCAACCTCCACCCTTCACCTTCACTCTCACCAGAAGCACACCCTGAGTGGCTGAACTGGATGGTTCCTGCCATCACTGCTGCTGTTTCTGCTGTCTGTTCTGCTGCTGCCCCCTCTCACCCTCTGTGAGGGTGCTGGTGGGGGAAGGCAAGGGTCCCAAAAGCTGCAACATCTGGATGTATAGGTGGGCCTGCAGTTTCATAGACACCCTCTATACATATGGGAGGGTGCTACATGAGTCGGCGAGCCCCACACCAGGCATTGAGATGTGTGAGGCCCCTGCTGAACCATCTACTCTACCCCCTAGCCATGAGGTCATTTAAGATCGTGACCCTCAATGTCCACGGCTGCAGGAAGGGTCTCCAGAGAGGCCGGGTGCTCTTCTTCCTTCAGGAGGGAGGGTACCCCATGGTATTCTTGCAGAAGCCACTGACAACTCCAGCCCATGAGCCTAATTGGAGGCTGGAGTGGAGAGGCAGGGTCTTTTTTAGTCACCTCTTGGCCACCTCTTGCAGGGTGGCCACCCTCTTCTCCCCGGGCCTGCAGCTGGAGGTTCTTCAGGACATTGAGGTGGTGCCGAGTCACCTGCTGCACCTCTGGGTCCAGGTGCGGGGGCTGGTTCTGAACTTTCTGAATGTGTACACCCCTGCGAGGGACCCAGAATTGGCAGATTTTTTCTGCCAGGTGGCCACATACTTTGACACCCTCAACCCTCATGAGTGTCTGGTCTTTGGCTGGGACTTTAACGTCACCCTAGATGCACGAGACCAGTCAGGCAGGGAGCGGAACCAGGCTGCCATGGGCATCCTCGGGGAGATCCTGATGGACTACTCCCTGGTGGATGTCTGGCGGGCCTGTCACCCTACTGATCCCCCTGCCTTTACAAATGTGAGGGTGTGGGAGGAGCAGGCATACCACTCCCAGTTGGACAGTTGGACCAGGTTTATATCTCTTTGCTGCACTTTGCCTGGGCCCACTCCTCTGGCATCCGGCCAACTCGTTTCAGCAATCATCACCTTGTCTGGGCCCAGGCCATGCTGGGGAGTTCTGGCTGGCCTGGCTTGAGCAACAGGCAACTTTCCCCTCAGCTTGGAAATGGTGGGATGTGGGGAAGGTGCGCGTCTGACTTTTTTGCTGCAGCTACACTTGGGGGCACTCCTGGCAGAAAGAGGTAGTCCGGGAGCAGCTGGAGTGGGAAGTGCTAGAGCTGAAGAGGTGCCTGGCCACCAACCCAACCAACCTGTCCCTCTGTGGACTGCTTGTGTGTCCAGCTCCTTCAGGAGATGGACTGCGACTCCTGCTTCTTCTATACCTTGGAGAGGAGGTGGGGGATAGTGTTGGTGCATGGGACAGTGCTGGTGCTGAACCATGCTCTGGCACTGCTCTGGCACTGCTCTGGCCATGCTCTGGCACTGCTTACACACCCTGCCTGTGCCCCTTGAGGTCCTGGTGGGACTTCAGAGATGGGCACTGGGGTTCTTCTGGCTGGGGACAGCATTGGATCTCTGCAGAGGTCCTGAGCTTCCCCTTGTGGGAGGGTAGCCAGGGCCTGGTTTGCCTGTGCATCCAGGTCCTGGCATTCCACCTTCAGGCCCTGCAGTGACTGCTATAAAGTGTCAGTAGCCATGCAGCATGGGGCCACCTGGGGTGCACTTTCCTCTGCCACTTCTGGGGGCTCCAATATGACTGGCAGCTCCTCAGCCTGTGGGGCTTCTCCCTGTAGGAACTGCGAGGGCTGCCAGATTTCTACCAGGACCTCCTCCAGGCCTGGAGGCTGGTCTCCACCTCCAGGTCCCCCACAGCAGTCACCCAGGGTGCCAAGCTGCTCATCGAGCTCCTCCTCTGGAACCCCCAGCTGGAGGTACCAACAGCAGAGGTGCCCTGGTTGTGATAGAGGTTGATCCTGGTTGGTGTCACTCGTACTGGAGACCTCTTGGACTATGACAGGTGGGAATGGGTGGACCCCGCTGCATTGGCCCAGTGCATGGGTCTACCCATGACACATGCAAGTGGTGGGACCTGCTTGGTGAGGGCATGGCTAGGGCACCCCAGTGGCTGAGTCTGTACTCTACCCTCATCTCATGAGCTATGAGGGACCTCAGCTGGTGGCTCCTCCATGGAGCCGTCACCATGGGCGTGTGTGTGGTGAGCTTCATGGACACGCCAGTCTGCCGCCCCTTCTGCGGGCAGAGGGAGA